CTGTCCATGTGTTGTGAGGTTAAGGAGTTTCCATCGTCTCTTCTGACTGCTAGTTGGTGTTCATGGGTGTGCTCTGCCAGCCTGCTGCCTGTCCATCCTACGTAGTGTTTGTTACAGTCCTTACGCTGTATGTTGTAGATGGCTCCTGTTTTTTCTTCTTGGGCTACTGGGTCTTTTGGTTTGCTTAAGATGTTTTGGAGGGCTTTGGCTGGTTTGTGTGCTATGGAGATGCCATGTGGTTGTAGTAGTCTGTGGGTAGTTTCTGAGATGTCTCTGATGTATGGGCAGTGTGATCCTTTTCATAGCTTGTGTTGGTTGTGTTGTAGTAGATTGAGTGGCCAGGTACTTTTGGATAAAGTTGCGTGGATATCCATTTTGTTGGAAGATGTATCGGTGGTCTATTTCCCTTTTCTGCTGTTCTGGGTTGCGTTTGTACTCGTTTGAATAATGTCCTTACCCAGCTCCTCTTGTGGGCAGTTGGGTTGTTACTTTGGTCATGGAGTACTTGATTAGTGTGGGTTGTCTTCTGATAAACTTGGGTTTCTAATTTGCTGCTGTTTCCTCTGCAGATGAGGATATCCAGGAAGGGTAGCGTGTTGCTGTTTTCCTCCTCTGTGGTGAATTTTATTCCTTTGAAGATGTTGTTGATGGTTTCATGTGTCTTCTCTAGTTGTTCCTTTTTTATTATAACAAAGGTGTCATCTACATACCGGATCCATACTTTGGGTTGTACAAAAATTGTTGAAGAACAGTTGGTTGGAGAGGTATGTCAGGCTTGTGTATTTTTAAGCCTGACATACCTCTTCGACCAATTGTATCTTTTGTATCAGGGACTCCAACATATAACATAGCAAAAGAACTGACAAAAAAGCTTGGACATCTCACAGAGAAGAGCAAATATTCCATCAACTCCTCAGTACAGTGCCTCCAGAAAATCAAAGATGTACACATAGATGAAGATGAAATCATGGTCTCGCTCGATGTCATAGCACTCTTTACGCCCATAAACCCAGAACTAGCGAAAGAATCCATATCAGCAGTACTACACAACACACCCGACCTAACCAAATACACCCAGATTGAAACACCCCGAATCATGGACCTCATCAACCTCTGCCTCACCACCTGTTTTCAGTTTGACGGACAAATATACCAACAAATCAGAAGCTCACCCATGGGATCACCACTCTCAGGACTCATAGCAGAGATTGTAATGCAACGCCTAGAAGCTATAGCACTTCCACACATACAACCCAAAATATGGACAGAGAACAAACCCCTCTCCTTTTTAGCACTGAAGATGTTACCTAGCTGGGTAACGAAACATCTGCAAGAAAACAACCAAGCCCAGAGAACCCCAAGGACTCCACGGTTGTGTGAATGCCTCTGTTCACAGCTTTCCCTGACCAGGTTATTCATCTGATGTGAAGATAGGTACTCGTTCCCCACAAAAGACCCTTCTCTGCTATTGGTTCCTCCTTCAGTTGTCTCTCTTGCAAGACCAGGGGCCCGAGAAGAAGGTCTCGCTCATCATAGTGGGGATCAATGCGATCAAGAACCAAGATGACTTATCTTCAACAAAGAGATAGAAGCCTTTGGGGTTGGAACTGAGCAAGTTGATGGCCACTTCGGTCATCTCGGCCAGAGATGGGTCAGTGCTGTTGTCCCGGTTCAGCTCGTACTTCATGTCTCCTGGTTCAAAGAGGCCTGAGAAAAGCAAGAAAGGTTGGAAGGGCCTTCAGGCCAGCGGTGCAGGCCAAGAGGGACCTTGGCTGAAGCTCAGGGCCCTGCAGCCTTCAGAGTCCAAACCACACAGGGGCTGCATTCACCCCACATGTGTAACGAAGCCAGATAAAGACATGGCGGTTGCATGCATAGGACACGCAAAGCTTGCCTGGCGATAACCTCCGTTAGCTTTTGGGTGGCTTCCACATGAAGGGCAAACCCAGCCAGGTTGCTTATTTTATGGTTCAATCTATGATGCGAACCCAGATGGGAGAACGAGCTGATGGGAGGTGATCTTGAACAGCCTTCTCTTACTCAGTCAGCATAAACAAATGCAACTCTTTTTTTAATGTGCAATTTTGGGGATGTGGGGAAACTGCAAGTCAGAATTCTGCTGTTTAAAACCTTCCTGCTTGAGCTGGACAGGGAATTCCCATGTAATCTCTTACACACACACCCTTACGCACGCCTGTGAGCAGCCTGGCACTGGCTTCTCCACCATCTGTAAACTGGCCTTAGTGGCTTTCCAACCCAAGCCACTCCCTGCAAATAAGAGGGTAACCTATGTTTAGAGACCAAAATCAATGGCAGACACACATACGCGGGCGGGATGATGAGTGTTTTGAACCCTTTACCCATGAGGCGCTCCACCGTCGGGTCAGTGACAGCTTTCAATAGCTCGGCTCGGTTCCAGACGTACTTCCTGCCCTAGGACAGAAATCCAGAGGCCGGTAAGAGAAAGGCCATTTGCAGCCCAGGGTGTCTGCAGGGTAGGGTCAAAAAAGTCACCATGGCGCCTGTGACGGTGCAATCAAAGCTCTACCTGCAACCATCATGACTTTTTCAATTAGACCTTGTGGACACCCCTGTCCCAGGCTAAATACTACAGGCAAAATATGGGGTCCCATTCCTCCATGCTGTGGGGTGACGGTGGGATTTTGAGGGTCAAGAGAAAAGATCCCTTTGCAGACCTCGATTTTTTGCTGTGTGCTGCAGATCCCCACGCTGGGGAACAAGGGAGAGGCGGTTGTAACCCAAGAGGCGTTCTCAGGTTGGTGCAAAGCATGGGGCTCGATGCATGCTTTATATCCCATGTGCCCCCCCCCCCGGTTGACCCTGGCTACATCCTTGAGTCATGCATATTGGGGCACGTTTATGGGTTTCGGCAGAGGGTTTGCACCATCTGGGCACAGAATGTCAGCCATTCACAAGTCCAAAAACACATGTGCCCTTCCACACAAAACTAGGGTTCATGTTATACA